ACACACCCGAACGACGCGACCCCGGGAACGGAGGGGCTTTTTTTCCCGGTCCCGAACCATAGGGATTGGTGAGAAGGTCCGGACCCCGCAAAATATGAGGGTACCGGCCCCGGTCCCGGTCCGGGTCAAACGGGTCGGCGTCTGGGCAGCTGGGTTTGACCTTGTACCATGTTGTCGCCAAAAACTATAGCTTCCTAATGCCTAACACACACCAAAGACCCTGGCTTGTGTCAGGCATCTGTTTTTACGACCTACTTATAGTGACTTCCTGTAACCGTTATAAGTCACGCCGAACGAACCGTATTTCTGTGTCCTTCACCCGGATTTGGCTTTCTCTGTCAAGAGGGGATTCCCACCACGCATCGCCTGACAAACACCGACTCAGGTCGGTGCTGCAGCTTGGGGCATGCGATGCGATGCGCGCGAGGCGGGTCTGGCGGCCTGCTTGGCGCGTTCGGCCTCTTTGATGGCATATTTCGTCTCCGCCTTGGCCTGCACCACCTGGGGGAGAGGGAGAAAGCGACAACACGCTCTGTCGAACATCCGAAATCCGAGAAGGGGAAGGGTCCTTGGCCTGCACACGAAAGAGAGGGAAGAAGAACAAGAGCGAGCCGACTGCTTTCATCCCAGAATTCGTTGAAGGGACACTTAGTGATACTTTCATGTTTGTTTTTCACTCCCAAAACTATGTTTTCTTTTTTTTTCCGTAGAGTTGCCCCATTCTGGAATCCAAGAGCCAACGGAAGACATGTCAAACGAAGCCCGGAAGATCCACAAACAAAGTGTAGAACTATACTTCATGCCTGTAGACATCTGCAGAACTCCATCAAGTTGCATCGTTTCAAGCCATAGGTACTTAGTTTGGCTAGCTCATGAACTCAGTCACTGGCCTTCTCAGTGGTTTCCCAGATCTTCCTCTCATCATTTTGGAACTTCTTCTCAGCCTTCACTTGGAACTCCTTCCTCAGATCACATGGTGTCGTGCACATGTAACAAAGGGCATCGCTACGAACGGAGCGATCGGACGCTACTAGTAGCTCCTGGCATTTCTACGAGTAGCAAGAAGCTCTTAGTAGCAAGGTGCATCGCTACGAACGGAGCAAGGACGCTAGAACGATCAGCATCTTTCATGAACAACACCCCAAGTTGGAACACCGATCTGGTCCTATCATCCAAAGTCTGACATGACAATCCGATGACAATCCGATACCGTCATGAACACAATATTTACATCTTCGTCTCATGTCTCATCACTGAATGCATGGGACAAATCTGTCCAGCCCAAACTCTCTCGCGCCGGAACCTCCAGCAACTCTCATTGCTTGGCACACGTGGAACTTTGAGTGAACCTTTTGAGCGCAGCACATGGTTTTTGGACGTCCAGGCGTCGACTTCTGCTTGATGAGTGTCTTCTCCTTGTGGCTTTCCTGCACATCAGAGGTTCCTTTTTCATCCTTTTTCCACGCAACCCCTGTATATCACGGCTCTTCTACTGACTGAAGCTTTCCGGGCACCAATTCCCTGCATCTTGGGCCCCCCAAAACCACCTTAGACCTCCGGTCTCGACCGGAAGCTCACCCAGCTCACCCCCGATGTCTTGTCCGAAACCCGGTTTGGTGTCATCAACCCCAACTGATTCGGCCCAGACATGGCAAGTTCCACTCGAGTGGAAGCTGTGTTTCGACCTCGAACGTGCCTCCAAGTCGGTTGAGAGCTTGGTGATGTGAGTGTCCTTGCCTCAGCACAAGCGATTTCCTTTCGCCTCGCAGTTCTGCTTGGTTGCTGCGATTGAACAAATACCTGAAGGGTGGTGAGTGCGCCCCGGCCTTCACACAACATGAATAATGTGCACTCCGTGAGTTAGGAGAAGGCGAAGAATGCAACAGAATTTCGGGGATGGTGTTAACAACTCTCTGTAGTACCTAGTCTATGGTCAACAACATTCCTTCACCGTTTGTGTGGGGCGGCCGTGTGCGGCCGATTTTGTGCACCGCTTGGCTTTCCAAAAAGGGATCTCACATGTCCATCTCATGCGCTTTTGGGCAGGTGTTCAACATCAGACCCAGTTAACAATATCAAACCCAAACGAGAAAGCCACACTACTTCGAAAGGTCAGCGGTTTTTTTTGCTGGGCAAACTGGTACCATTGAACAGGGCAGTCAATAGCATACCTCAGTCACCTGACTTCGAGAAAATGGAAGGAACCAGTCATGGTATGCTACTGCAGTTTCCCCATCACCAAGTTAAATTGCAAATTGCCACTTGAAAGTTGAATTGTGCCAATTGCCAATTGAACATTGAAAAACATCAATGAAAAGCAAATAGCAGCAGTGAGCAAGAAGGCCGGGCAAGAGTAGCAGCGAAAAGGGAAACACTTGGTGTACTTTTGGAGGGCTCGACTGTTACAGCTAATAGGCACGACCCAAAAGATATACCTAGATCCTCCAACTGTGCAACATTTATGCCTTTTTATCCATAAAACCCATTTTGCAAAGTCGGAAGATCTAGGTATGAGGTACTGACGATGAAGCATCTTACTTCAGCAGCCTAATGGGAAAGTCATGGCCAAAATAAACCACACAGAAAACACACATCCTGGCAGGCAAGCGGCACCGAAGTAGCTATGGGTGTCCAAACATCATTGCTCCGCCCATGATCGAGGACCCTTCTGGGAAAATCAAGATTGACCATCGACCCGCTGTTTGCGGAGTTTGGGAACAACATGGAACAGCCCCTCCCCTTCAAATCAATTAATAATTCCCAGACACTCCATGTATGGCATATATGCGTACATTGACCCCCAAACCACCCCAATGTAGGCATATATGCCAGTCCCATGGAGTGTCTGGGATTAGCAAGCCTCTCTGGGGATCCAGGATGAGTACGCCACAACCAAAATCATCCAACGAAATGATGATTCTCCAAATGTCATTCTCACTGGCAGATTCTGCAGATTCGCAAAGCAACCCTTTCATGGGTCTCCAGATTTCTACTATCACTCACTCACCACCGGGGTTTATGCGAAAAAATAAAGGTCTGCGAAAAAAAAAAAAAAAACAAACTCTCACCCGAAGCAAACCATCACACATCATCACACCCTGTCCGAGAAGCTCTGGAGACTCACTTCCAACTCCTTCAGCTCCGCAGCCAACTTGTCGTTCTCGCTGGTGGACTGCTCCAGTTGCTTCGACAGCTTCTTCTCCTCGTGCGGCTGAAGTGGCTGAAGGGAACTGATCCACCGACAGAATCCGACAGACGTGCCATCCATGGACAAAACAACATGCACGCAGAGGGCCTCAAAAAGCATCAGGTGTCAACAAAACCATGTCAAGACTTCCGCAAGCATGTCAAAAGGTCAAACCATGTCAACAATTCATCATGGTCTGACCTTGATTTGACATGGTTTGACAAAAAAACCACCTCGGTGTAAATCAGTCAAACCTTGGAAGTCTTTTTGTTGACATTATTTTTCCAAGGTCCTCGGGTCTCCGATCTCAAGACTTCTTGGTGGGATTTCACGATGCTCTGCTCTGGCTTCTTCAGGATGATATGAACACTCACAGTAATCTCAGCCAAAACTGATGTCTCATAAAATCTGAGTTCCTCTCATCCGGTTCTCTTCTCAGCGCCACTTCTTTTGGTTGAGACACACCCAAATCTAGACTGGACAAGTACAGTTTTTTTGGTGAGTCCAGGCCGAACTCAGCTTGTGCAACCATGGCTCGTTCTCAGCAACCACCTCCAGCTGACCTGCACATGTTCTCGGCCCCGGAATGCACATCATGATGCTTCTAGTCCTCTCTAGTTCTCCACAATGTCACTGACTTTTTTTGAAGTCTCCCTCCCAAACACTCCTTGGGACTGGAAGATATGCCACCCCAGAAAGACCCATGAAATCAATCACCCCAATTGATTCGGCAGATATTCCAGTTCCGTTTCAGGGTCTGGGTCCTGGTTCGCTCACCTGTTTAATCTCCTGAGCTTCCGACTGATGCGATCCAGGAGTTGTTTGTTCTCGGCCTCCAGCTTTGTCATGCCGGTCTCCAAATCCTGCAGCGGTCTCTAAAGGGGTACTGCAAGGCTGTGAGACTCTGGGAACCACAATGTTTTGGTGAGAAAAACCTTCAATGTCGACGATTGGCGGCACATCCCTTTTTGGGACCAGATGGGAGCTTTTGGTGGTTCTGTTCAGACCACCAAAGCTTTTGGATGCTTTTGGGCACCCATCACCCTCATCCTTGAAAGAATGAAAAACACTGTGAAGGGTGGGGCTACCCAAATCACCGTGGTTCTTTCCTGACTTGCCCATTTTGCAGGTGACCACATCAGAATCACTTGGTGGATGAAGTTTGACTGTAGCCATCACACACCACAGCTGCTGCACGCCTTACTCTTGGCTGCGAACTTCTCCATCATGGACTTATAGTTCTGCTCGCGTCCTGCGGTGAATCAGCTAGCGTTTGACGAAATCAAGGGCGACATGAAAAAAACGGCCAAAAGCCACAAACTCCAACAACCCCTCATGATTCACCCGGTAGTTCTTGTGTCTCTCTCTCTCTCTCTCTCTTTGAGAGATCTTCGGTGCACACCGGTTGTTTTTTTTTCCAGATCGCCTTGGGTTGCTTCTTTTTGCCAGCAGAGCAGCTGCTGCCCACTGTGAGAACAACATGTGAGTCGTTGCCAGTCCAATGATCTTCGCATATGTTCCAGGTCTTTCGAAAGAACAACACCTCTGTTCAGAACGGCAAATCCTGCACTCGAAAAAGCACAGCACACAACCCATGTCGCAACAACACGTGTTGTTGCCTCAATGCGCAGCACACGGGTGTGTAGCTGATAGATGGGAGACCTGTGGTTCCGACCCCCCTGGAAGAATGACCACAACCCATTCCCAGACACGACTAATGGGACTGGCATAGGACTGTCGATCAGTTGGGGTGGTTTGAGGGCCCAATGTAGGCATATATGGCAGTCCCATGGAGTGTCTGGGCATTGGGCCACGGTGTCTCGCTATTTGTCTATTTCAACTACACCCGTCAGACACGTCTGAAGCCGTCTTCCAGAGCCGTCGCGACAAGTGATCTCCTTTGGCCACCTCTGCTGCTTGCTTAAGGACCTCCGTCTCTTTCTTCAGAATGGCACCTGGATGACCAGTGATCTGGTGGTAGAAACATTCGGTTGGGTAATGCAAACCTGCATGTCCAAGGTTTGGACATGGAAAAGGCAATGAAAGGCAGGGTGTTCTTGTGAAATATCATGATCATCGATTGTCATGGCCATGTCTTCTCTTCTTCTCTTCTTCCAGTGCAAGGCTCGCCTGCTTAGTCGATCGAATGATCGAACGATCAACCTAAAGAGTTTGATCCTCCAGGACCACGGAGGACCACGGACGGTCGTTCGGGTGGTGACCGTGGACACCCCAGCCGCATACATATATATACGATATATATATATAATACCAGTGCATCCCAGTTACCAATTGTTATTTAAGGAACCAGGGATTCTAGGTCTATGGCTTTAGTCTTTGGAACCACTGGTTACCAGCTGTATAGTGTTTTGCCTGGATGCCCTGGGTATATATGTTAACCATCATGGAACCCATCCGAGAAAACCACCCCGAACTCTGTGGTGCTGGAAGAGATGGAATTTCTTTGTCCTATTTCGCACACAGGACCTGCTTCGAGGTTCCAGGTTCCAGGCCCTACTTTCCCAGGCCTTATAGGCTAGCAGAAAACCCACTGAGCTCGCCCCTCCCTGCCTTCTTCCATCACTTTTTGCAGCTGCTTGTTGAGCGCCTCATTCCACCGATGCGTTCGCGGCATCGACCGCTCGTCGCCGGACCGGTGGAGTGGTGACCGGTGCTGACCGGTGACGGTCTTTGGCTCCTTTCCTAGGATCGATCTATATGTCCCAGACACGACCCGTCTGGGACTGGCATAGGACTGCCGAGAAACGGCCAGGGGTGGTGGTTTGGGGGGTCAATGGGGTGGCATAGATGGCAGTCCCATTAGTCGTGTCTGGGTGTCCTGACGCGTCTGAGGTTTGCGGAAGAGACCGGAACCTGTTTCTCAGGCATGGACCGAAAGACCCAAACACTCCACTCCACCCAAGCTGAAGGTTCACGCCATCAAAACCTCCTGCGAGTTCGCCCGAAGTCGAGTCCCGCCGAAGCGATTCCTGCACAGTCGACCGAAGAGTCGCGCCTCGATTTTGGCTTGAGAGTCAACCAGGTTCTGGTCCAGGCCTTGAACCTAGCGGAGCGATGATCAGGTGGTTTCTCGGGTGGTGATTCGGATGGGAAGGGATGGGGAATCATTGGGAGATATCCTGGTAGGTGCCAGGACCAGGCGGAAGATCGACGCAATCAGCAAGGCAACAAGTTGGTGCATGGGCATGGCCGCCGGGGTCTTACACATACAAACCCAAAGGCTCGTTGCATCTTCACACATCTCTGCACCAAGAAATGTTCTGGTGAGGGTTGCTCCGACGGGCGTCGCCTCTGGTAAAGCCATTGCTTGCTTGATTCATCAAGACATCCCTGGAGCCTCCAACAGGTGTTTACTTAGTGAAGTTCAGAAAGATCCAAACTCAGATTCCCTCCCAAAACGACTCCCACCGTTCAACGCCTCGTTCTCCCCGCCCAACCCTTGCACTTCGACCGACCTTTCCACACATCCCACCCGTTCCACTCTTCCACACAACCCCACACCCGTTGTTTGACACGACCCCTTCCCTCCCAGCAATGCGCCACGCGCCTTCTCCTTGAGTGCCGCGTTCTCCTTCCGAGACTCCTTGAGATCGGACAGCACCTGTCCCGTCTCCTTGCGCGAGGAGGTCAGCCTCGGGCGAAGTGACGGGGCGTCAGGGCCCAATTGGACCGGACAGAGGTGCTTTGGAAGCCTCCAGAAGCTGCCGAGGTCGGTGGTTTGGGAGCGTGGAAGCCCATGTGAAGGAGCCCAAAAGACCAAAAGAAAGCCGGTTGAACAGGATGATTCCCGTGAGACACACGGTGCCCGGATGGTGGGTGAAGTGGCACATAGGCCTTTTTGATCTCCCACATGTGCCCCTTGAGTTGAATGGTGCTGGATCGCTTGGGTTGAGCAGTTACTGCTTGCTGCTATCCAGCTAGAGCCCAGACATGAGTCCTGTTTCGATAGGAAAAGGCATGAAAAGGCCATATGGGGTCCCACATTATTCATGGTGGGTACTCCAAAACAGGGGTCACAAAAAGGCTGAATGTCCGTGCGACGTTTTCAGAACCTTTTGCAACTTGGACTCAGTTCCCCCTCCAAAGCGCCATCTCCCAAGCGCCGCCAGTCGCGTGCTAGGCCAGCGCCGCCCTACTAGGGCTCTCCTCACGGAGCTCACGTTCCTTCGGTCTCTCCCAGGGAAGGACTGCCCTAAACATCTTCGAAAAACCCATTGACCCGGAGTCACGCCAGTGCTCGACGGGGTGCCACATCCACGAGCCAAACAATGATCGACTTTCTGCCCCCCAAGCGACGCTTCTTCGACTCCCGCCAGCTCCGTCTTCAGCTTGGACTCCTCGCCGCGGCCGTTTTGCCGGGGGGTCGCCGGGGCGTTGTTCGGAGCTGGGGATTTCTTGGGATGGGGCCTCATGGGGGGCATCCAAAGGCCAACTGATTGACAATCCCCTATAGGATGATTTACCGGAAAGCATTCTTATGTGTTGTTAGTCCCAAAATTGTCCAAAGGGTATAGTTTCGTACACTCCAAACAAACACAATGTTCACAAACTCGAGTAGCGTCCTTGTTCCTAGTAGCGATGCCCGGGTTCCTAGTAGCCTCTTGCTCCTATGGTAGTAAGGCCAGGAGCCCCTAGTAGCGTCCTTGCTCCTAGTAGCGATGCCAGGAGCCCCTAGCAGCATCCTTGTTCCTAGTAGCGATGCCCGGGTTCCTAGTAGCTTCTTGCTCCTAGTAGCAAGGCCAGGAGCCCCTAGTAGCGTCCTTGCTCCTAGTAGCGATGCCCGGAGCCCCTAGTAGCGTCCTTGCTTTTTCTGCTAATCATCTCATCCTCCCCTTTAGATTGGCTCGGCAGAGCCGCGGTCCTTCTTGGAAGCAGCTTCACGCTCTGCCTCGCCAAGGACTCCCAGTGATGACTCAAGGACTCACACCCGTTTCAACAAACTGTGCCGTTTCAACAAACGCACAAGCAACCAACCACAGGACCACAGCGCCATCGCAACATGATGGAAACACAGTACGTCATGTCATGTCTATCCCTATTTACAGAAAAATGACACACATATACTTCTCATTACCTCTCACAACCAGTTCGAACCTACCCCATTTTCTACCCCCTATAGCACCTCTTCACACAGACACACAGACACACTCTGACACTTGTATTCAGTTAACTCAGTTACCACGGTGGGAAGGATGGCGGTGGAACAGCAAGGTGAAATGTCCAGGCATTTGAAGGTGTTTGAACATAATTGTTTCAATCGCATGACTGCAGCGGCAAACTCAAAGTCAGCGGAAAGCGGCTGAAGGAAGCTGGTTTTGGGGACTAGCATGTGAAACCACCATGAATCAAATCGTAAGTGGAAAAGCTTGAGCAACAGTTTCTGGTGCAGGTACGTCAGCAAGCGTCCTTGCTGATATCCTCAGGACACTGCAGAGAGCTTTGTTAAGTGGAGCTCTGCAGGCCTGCTCCACTCCCCTGCCTGTAGAGGGTGGTTGAAAAAGGTGGTTGAAAAACTGTGGAAGGAGTAGCGGTGGAAAACCCTTTGTCCAGGGGTGGACACACACAGGTCGCCGGCTTCGGCGCTTTTCCAGCGCGCATGTGAGAAAACTAAATAGTCACCTAAAAAGCCTTAGAAACAAAAGGAAAGAAAGACAGAAAGAGCAGCGCTAAGAGGGGAAGAAAGAAAGATAGGTGTAGTTACGAGGCCCACTAGTTACAAAACCTTCTAGTTACTGACTACCTAGCACTCTAGTTACTGAATACTTAGCCCTTGACTTGAGGGAACGGAAAGAAGTGCTGGGTCCGAACAACAGAAGGTTTCAACAAGAATTAGTTACTGACTACTTAGCAGGTCTTAATTAGGTGCAATAGTTAGGGAGCGGGACTTTAGTCTTAGACCGCCCGGGTAGGAAAGACTAGAAAAGGAACAACACAGGGAAAGGCACCGACACACAAGTGTGTCGAGTACCATTTCCCTATGTTGCCCCAAATAGGTAGGGAGTAGAACTCAGCGGGGGGGGGGTTGGGGAACCTGCCTCATTGGGGGTTTTGCAATGCACCGTTTTATAGCCCGGCGGCTGTCTAATCCGAAAGCTGGTGGAAGAGAAAGTTACCGTGTTTAGGCCCGGCGGCCGATGCAGCTGTTGATTCAAAGGGTGTGTCAATGACTTCCAGTGGAAATCCGGTGAGAGGTGGCATGTTGGGTTGGTTGCTTACCGACGTGAAAAACCGCGCCCCTGTGACGGGGATCACACTCAGCACCCGAGTGGGACGGCTGAGCGAAACACACTCTGACACTTGTATTCAGTTAACTCAGTTACCACGGTGGGAAGGATGGCGGTGGAACAGCAAGGTGAAATGTCCAGGCATTTGAAGGTGTTTGAACATAATTGTTTCAATCGCATGACTGCAGCGGCAAACTCAAAGTCAGCGGAAAGCGGCTGAAGGAAGCTGGTTTTGGGGACTAGCATGTGAAACCACCATGAATCAAATCGTAAGTGGAAAAGCTTGAGCAACAGTTTCTGGTGCAGGTACGTCAGCAAGCGTCCTTGCTGATATCCTCAGGACACTGCAGAGAGCTTTGTTAAGTGGAGCTCTGCAGGCCTGCTCCACTCCCCTGCCTGTAGAGGGTGGTTGAAAAAGGTGGTTGAAAAACTGTGGAAGGAGTAGCGGTGGAAAACCCTTTGTCCAGGGGTGGACACACACACACACACCTTGATGGTCAACCAATGACATCGACCTTCGCAAACACCTCTCGCTGCAGTCCGCCGCGCCTGCATCTGTTTGTCCAGCTCCCTGGGCGGAAGAAGAGCCGACGATCCGACCCCGGACTCGACGCGACGCGACGAAGCAACTGCTTCGCTTGGGGAGGTGAGTGGAGGAACGTCCGAAGTTGGGAGCTCCAACTTGGGACACCCCAAGTTGGAAACGGCTTTGGAGACGCCAAAACAGTGCGGGTCAGATTCGCTGCAAGAGAATGTGTAGATTCCCATGCGATCGTATTACCATGCAGTAAACCCCTCCCTCCACATCAGGTGAACAGAATCCAAGGACTTCCAGCTGCTTCGTTCGCTGCTTCGTTCGTTTGGGTTTTCGTCGTATCCGCTCCTCACGGTGACCGAAAGTTCTCGCTGCTTCTCTTCCAGCTTGGCCAATTCCTCCTGAACAGAAACTGGAGCTGTTGCGCATGTAGACCAACATGTTCAATCAAAAGACACGGGACACGTTTTTTCTGAAAAAAAGCGCCTGCGAATCACCACAGATCATGGGTTTTCTGATGTTTTCTGCAAATGGCGAATGGATGCGAGTGGGCCTAAGGACCGCTTTTGGCTGTTGTGTCCTGCTTCTTCTTGGCCTCTTCTTCGGCCGCCTTTCTCTCCTGCTCATTCAGATCCTTCTCTTCCCTAAGACCAGCAACTGGCACATGGAATCTACATCCCTATATGGATCCACATACCTGCTGAGAAGGTGATTGGAGACTATTTATGTAGGCTTGGAGGGTCCAATGACCTTCTGAGAAGGTATGTGGATGCATAGGGTATAATTGATCCAAGTCCTCCAACCATTGCCTTACTCCCTTTGCTCGAAAAAGGTCACACATTCGGGCAACCCTACCCCCCTCCATGGTCGATGTTGCATGGCTTTACTCCATGTTCTCAGCGCAGACGCTGTTCTTCGCTCCGCTTTCCCAGCGACGCCAGCGTCGACCGACCAAGGGAGTGTCCAAAACAAGGAGACGACCATGTCCAGTCTGTTCAGGGACCAGTTTTACTCAGTTCCTCCAACATCAGGCGCGCGCCGGCCGCTGGCGCGCACCCGCTGCGATGTTGGGTTTCGCACCCCAGCCGCTGGGAGATCCGAAGTGCCCTCCCACTCGGAACAGCCGTTCCATCTGTTTCTCCACACGACTATGATCATCTTCAAACCATTCTTCGGGCCCCGCATGATGTGCCCACCCCCCGGCCCGCTCCGTGAAAACAGCCCGCGGCGCAAAAACGGTCCCAAACCCCTCCCTAGGGATCCAAGTACCTCCTCAAAAGGTACTTGGACCCTCCTGGCACCCACCCCAGTCTCACCTTCTCACAGGGTACGACTGGATCCTTATAGTAGGGCCTATGAGTTAGCTGCCTATATATGAGGCTCCAACTCCTCCGGCTCGGCTCCCACCGGGTCCGACGCCGACCCGGGTGGCGGCCGAGCAGCTTGAGCATCTCTTCCAGTCGTTGCACGTCGTTCCGCAAGGCTTCCCGATCCACCTCCCCCGTCCGCCACGGCTCAGAAACGACGCGGAGAGCGAAAAGAGCGGAGAGCGGATGGCAAAGACGGGCAGAGATGGAGGCTGCTCAGGGGTCTGAATGGGAGGAGTGCTGACATGATCTATAGACCTGACGAACTGATGGTTCGTGTCGAAGGTCAAAACTGGATTGGTAGGTGGAGATGTTTCTTGTCGAAAACAGAATCAAAGCCAGGCAGCGCACAGAACCACAACCAAACACACGTATGATGACAACTTATAACCTGTCTAGTTGCTGATTGCTTCCCGCAAAAGAGGATGTTTGCTGACTCCCACCGACGCACCGACGCACGCACCTCCAGCCGAGGAAAAACGGAGGCTCGGCTCCACCTGCAGCTTCTCGTTGGCGAGCTGCGACATCTCCAACTGGTCGCTCACGCTGGTATAGGTCTCCTGGAACCGAGGGTTTTCTCACATCTACTTGACGTCTTCCTTCAAAAGAAAACACAGAAATTACCAAACATGTCCACATAGAACAAAAGGTATGTATACGAAATTATACGATTGCCTACCATGCAGCGAGCATGCATGACATGTTCGACCACGGCTGTTTCGCTTTTGACTGGCTTTGACGCAGTGGAGCTGCAGCAGCAGCTGCGCAGCGACTGCCCAGCTGTCCTGAAGTGCCTCGATCCGATCTCTGAGCTCCTCTCCTTGTCCTGAAATTGGTCATGTGACTTCCGGAGAAAAAAGATCGACAAAGCCTTCTTCTGGATGATCTTTTAAGTTATTTTGAGGATACTACCTTGCATTCTACCAGCATCACTCAAACTCCCTCAACAAGATTGCAGGCTCTTGCCCGCTCTAATTCTGAGTTTGTGTGACTGTGGAGGTTCGCATTCCCATCAGGATATTTCTTCCTTCTTTCAGCTTGGCGCGCCCCATTGGCCACACCGGAGGCTCGTCCAATTGGCCAAACCCAAACACTCCATGGGACTGGAATCTAATGGAATCTATATATGCATACAGATTGACCCCCTGGCACCACCCCAACTGATCGGCAAATCTGGCAGTCCCATGGATCGTGTCTGGGAAAGGACATGTGTTTTTGTTCGATACCAAACTGAGTGCACCACGCACTTCCGCTGCCAGCTGAGCCTCACCGCATGTCAGATGCGTCCGCAAAGGCGCTTCGCTATACCCCATACACTCCATGGGACTGGCATATATGCCGATCAGTTGGGGTGGTTTGGGGGGTCAATGTAGGCATATATGGCATACATGGAGTGTCTGGCTACTGAGGGACACTTGACAATTCCTTCCACTCGACTCACTCCGATTGTGATTTTGTTGAGACCAGGAGCGATCGGACGCTACGAACGGGGCTCCTGGCCCAGGTGGTGTGAAAGACCCTTTTGGTGTCGCTCGCCATGCGTTCGATGCGCATCCGTGGGCCTTGTTTTTTCACCAGTCGACTCCACCGACTTTGGGATGGTGAACTCCAAAGCCAACGATCCGAACCAACTTGACCTGCCTGTATACCTGATACCGATCATCTGGCAACTTCTCTCACTCACCCTCCTCCACCCCGGTGCGAGAGGCGCGCGCACGCCCAGAGCGCGGAAAACAGCGCCCGTCTTTCCACCTCCATCTTCTGCTGCATCTCTTCAGTTTGTCGCTCCATTTCGGCCACGATCTTCTCTTGCCTTCCATCGATGGGGGACCGCGGCACCTCTCGAGGTGTCGCTTGTCCAACCGCGCGCGACCAGCGCGACGCCCAACCTGATCTTCTGTGCCTCGAGTGCTTTCTCCAGCTCAGCCTGCGGTGCGAAATCGATCGCTCACAATCATGCAAGAACGACGCAGCCATCGGCGCACTCACAGAACCATCTAGAAACTGCCCTCTCGGCACAAATCTGAAGCAAAGAGTCTCAGATCTGACAGATAGACGCACCCACCGCGTCGATACGGCTCTTGGAACCTCCAAGAGAACTCGCGCCTCTCGGCTTCCGAAGAACTCGCGGATGCCCTTCAGCGCGGCCTCGCCGCCGTCTTGGCCTCAGCATCGACCGAAGCGCCGACACGGCCGGCCGCGGTCGGTGGATGCCTTCCGGTCGACCGGGGACGGTTGGGGTGCCGGGCTGGCAATGCTCGCCACGTGCCTGGCGGTGAGGCCGAGCTGCTTGGTTTCGATTCTCAGTGGTGTGCTGGGACATATGGCTGACCTACCTGGAAGGTCGTTCGCTACATGTTCTTGGAGCTCCACCTTTTGACCCATCCCCATGTGAATTGGAATCCGGTTCTGGATCAAACCAGGATCGTTTACAATATCTGTCTGCGATGGTTTGCAGTGTTTTGTCTTCATGAGTCTCGAGCTACACTCACGCTGGCAAGGCTGTGTTTGAAGTGAACACGAGTGCGGAGGAGGAGGAGGAGTAGTAGTAGTAGTAGTAGTAGCAGTAGTAGTCGTTGTCGTCGTCGTAGTACAGTAGTATATATATTACATATTGTTGTTGTTGTTGTTGCTGCAGTTGACCTCATTTCCGCTTCGGAGTTCGATGACTCCGATCAAACAGGCCAGAGACTGCATGCTGAGCCGCTGCCCTGGCACATCCTCCTGGGGTGCTGCGTGGTTTGTTCGATCCAAGACGTTTGGGTGCCGGAATGACACAAATCGGGTGTGTATGTTCATAGGGGGGACACCCTGGCCCAATAGGTCTTGCTCGATTTAACCTTCTTCCAGGAGGTGGAACTAGGAGGTCGTCTCCCTACTGGTCTCCCAGTTTTTTCTTAAGAATTTACACTCAAATTGTCTGGAACACCACCTAACGGCCTGGATAAGCCTGGAACAACATGCTGATTGTCGGTTTCAGGACTTCCTACATCAACAGTGTGCCATTTCAGGGGTTTAGCACTCTCGACCACCTCTTGTCAAGAGGTGACGACTTTCTTAAAGGTCGAGCTTGAAAATCAAATGATCCCCACAACTTATGTTTGGAAGGCCAAGCGCCTCTTGCATATTCAATGCGATCTAAAAGGCTTTGAGGCCTTAATCTTGCAGTCTGATAATGTTATTGTCCTGGACCGCTGCTCCACCAAACGGTCTCCATCCCATCAGAGCGGCCTCAGCCTTTGGCGCCGGCTTCTTCTCCTGTCGGTGTCGAAGGTGTCAAGAAGTTCCCTGAGAGTCGGCTTCTTCACCATGCGCCGACTTGTTTGACCGGAGGCAACTCGTGTCACATTCCCAGTGCATCCCAGGCCAACCACTAGGACCAAGGAACAAGGGATTCTAGGTTTTAGTCTTTGGAACCAACTGGTTACCAGCTATAGTGGTAACTGGATGCCCTGGGATTGACAACAGAAGATGTCTGTGCAGGTGTGATGTCTGTCAAGGCCCAGTGCGACTGCTTCAGGCCACTCATTCACATGGCAGCGATTGCGTTGGTTGATCCAATTGCGTTGCCAACTTCTTTTCTAGGAAAACATAGCTGTTCAGGCTGTTCAAGTGTAATTGTTGCACACAAACCTCTTTAAACCCAGTGCCTGGGTAACCACCCAACAGACATGAACAACAAGAGCCTCACCCCCGCCCTTCTCCTCCGGCTTCTTCTCCTCTGGCTTCTTCTCCTCTGGTTTCTTCTCCTCAGGCTTCTTCTCTTCGGGCTTCTTCGGCTTCTTTTCCTCCTTCTTCTCTTCGGGCTTCTTCTCCTCTGGCTTCTTCTCCTCGGACTTCTTCTCCTCCGGCTTCTTCTCTTCCTTCTTCTCCTCTGGCTTCTTTTCCTCCGGCTTCTTCTCCTCCGGCTTCTTCTCTTCAGGCTTCTTCTCCTCCGGCTTCTTCTCTTCAGGCTTCTTCTCCTCTGGCTTCTTCTCCTCGGACTTCTTCTCCTCTGGCTTCTTTTCCTCCGGCTTCTTCTCCTCCGGCTTCTTCTCTTCAGGCTTCTTCTCCTCCGGCTTCTTCTCCTCCGGCTTCTTTTCCTCCTTCTTTTCCTCCTTCTTCTCCTCCGGCTTCTTCTCCTCCGGCTTCTTTTCCTCCGGCTTCTTCTCCTCTGGCTTTTTCTCCTCAGGTTTCTTCTCCTCAGGCTTCTTTTCTTCTTTCTTCTCCTCGGGCTTCTTCTCCTCCGGCTTCTTTTCCTCCGGCTTCTTTTCTTCCTTCTTCTCCTCAGGCTTCTTCTCCTCCGGTTTCTTCTCCTCCGGCTTCTTCTCTTCCTTCTTCTCCTCGGGCTTCTTCTCCTCCGGCTTCTTCTCCTCCGGCTTCTTTTCTTCCTTCTTCTCTTCAGGCTTCTTCTCCTCAGGTTTCTTTTCCTCCGGCTTCTTTTCTTCCTTCTTCTCCTCCTTCTTCTCTGCCTGTGCACTACAGTTCCCCATCCCAAATGTGTTTCCTTTAGAAAGATAAATGCACATGTTTGGCCACTTCAGAACCAGGAATGACATGTTTTGCACATGTTTGTGTCATTCAAATGATGTCGTTTGCCAGGTTTGCCTTCTCCTCTGGCTTGACGGAGTTGTTATTGTTGTTTTCTGCCACCTGGGGAGGTCGAGTCTTGGAGCGACTGGTCTCGCGGTTTTCTTCAAAGCAAGAAACCAGAATCCACAGGCAGAAAGAAAATGAAAGAAACCACCACATGTAAAACATGGACAGGAAGGACACACACACAACATCCACAACTCAACACAAACACAACTCAACAAACTCAGTAGTGAGTTGAACATCCTTTTCTTCTTCGTTTTTGTCCAAACATGTTTGGTCCTTCTCTTCCATCCAAGCGGCGTTGTTGTTGGACTCCTTGTGGTTGGGTTGAATACCGACCTGATCGGCGTTCCGAACAAAGACGACGCCAACCGACCGGGGGGGTCGTACCACACGAAACAACTGCAGCAGCATGCAGCATGATGTCCTTTTTGCTGGATTTCGTGACCACAAGCTCTGACAACTCTCTCGCTCTGACAACTCCAAGATGAACCGCATGCCTCAAACGCGCCTAATGACTCTCCCTGGAAGAAACATGGAAGTGGACAACCACCTGTCTTCTCAGGGGGCATTCTCCACTTCCATGTTAGTTCCAGGGAGTGTATATATATATATGACTTGGATTTGCTACTTGGCTTGTCTTTCGTGCGGGCGGAACGCATGCGGAAGCCGGTGAAAACCACGGAACGCCCCCGAAGATCTGACCTCGCGATGAGGGGATCGAACCTCCTTTCCTCTCGTTTCGAAGCGATACGTACCCTACACACCTCCAGTCGTACCTCCTCAGGCTCCGTCTGACCCGACAGGAGGCACCCGGGCCCCCAGTCCCAACCTTCTCCGGTTCGCCACGACATGGAGCCCTATAGATGCCGTCTTGCCGTCTCCCCCCACCCCTCCGTCTCCGGCGACGTAAGCCGTCACGTCGCCGGCGACGCGGGTGTCTCGCCTGGTCGTCCTGCATCATCTGCGACCGGGCCGACGGATCAGCACCTGGTTTTCGGAGCGTTCGGAGCGAAACGAGCGGAACGATGGCGCAGCGGTGATCGTCTAGACACAGCGCGGCGGCCGAGGCCGATCTTCCTCCCACCCGGCCAGATGTGTAATAAAGTTCTGAAGGTGTTGCACCAGTTGAGCTTACTGGCATTCTGGAGGACTCATTGAAGTCTTTCAAGAGATGAATCCACTCCAGGGTCACCCGAAGAAGGACCTTGGGATGGAGCTGCTCAGGTTGGAAACACGAAAACGACAGATGTTGGGATTCAAGGTTTGACCACAAAGGCTCATTGGACCCTCAGTTCGCTAGGGTTTGACCCTCACAGCCAGGGTTTTGGACCGAAGCAACATGTAGCTGTTGCTTCGGGTCCAGAGTCACCTCTGGGACTGAAGATATGGATCTCTCAGACTTGGTCCAGTCTTCTCGGTGACCGCCCGGCCGACCGACCCGATCGCCGCATTTCGTTTTGCCCGACCAAGGTCTTGTGGCGATGGCGCGAGCCACGGCGGGGACAAAGCCAGCCTTTCAGAAACCAGCTGTACTCGCATTCATGACAGTGACATTCTTTGGCAACGATTCGTTTGCAGCCGTCTAGTTTGTACATCTCGAACCTGGTCCCGGAGACAGCAGACACTCTCAAGACTAAAGAACTGCAGGCATGAAAGGCATCATCCCCAATGTGGGTCACAGAGTCCGGGATGGTCAAGTCAACCAAAGAGCTGCAATCCCTAAAGGCTTGAAACCCAATGTGGGTCACTGAGTTCGGGATGGTCAAGTTGACCAAAGAGCTGCAATCCCAAAAGGCACCATCCCCAATGTGGGTCACTGAGTTCGGGAT